TTCCCCTCCCCCATTTTTGAAGAAGGGTCTAGGCCCGAAATGTCAGCTTTCCTGCTCCTATGATGCTGCTTGGCCTGCTGTGTTCATCCAGCTCTACACCTTGTTATCTCAGATTCTCCAGCATCTGCAGTTTCTACCTAGTCTGAAGATGAGATGTTGTTCCTCCAGTTTGCGATCCAGCAATTGTTCCTGCTCTCTGCTTCCTGTTAGCCAGCCAAATGTCTATCCAGGTTAATGTGCTACCCACAACACCAGGAGTCTTTATTTTCCATAATAACCCTCGATACATAGAACATAGAACAGTACAGCACTGTACAGGCCCTTCGGCCCACGATGTTGTGCCGACCTATTATCCTACTGATTCAAACTACCCTGCATACCCTACATTTTACTATCCTCCATGTGTCTATCCAAGAGTCGCTTAAAAATCTCTGAAGTATCTGACTCCACTACCACCGCTGGCAGCGCATTCCACATGCCCACCACCCTGTGTGTAAAGAACCTACCTCTGACATCTCCCCTACACCTTCCTCCAATCACCTTAAAATTATGCCCCCTCGTAATAGTCATTTCCGCCCTGGGAAAAAGTCTTTGGCTATCCACTCTATCTATGCGTCTCATCATCTTGTACACTTCTATTGAGTCACCTCTCATCCTTCTTCACTCCAATGAGAAAAGCCCTAGCTCCCTCAACCTTTCCTCATAAGACCTGCCCTCCAGTCCAGGCTGCATCCTGGTAAATCTCCTCTGCACCCTCTCTAAAGCTTCCACATCCTTCCTATAATGAGGTGACCAGAACTGAACACAGTATTCCAAGTGTGGTCTAACCAGGGTTTTATAGAGCTGCAGCATAACCTCACAGCTCTTAAAAGCAATTCCCCTACCAACACACCAATGAAAGCCAACACACCATACACCTTCTTAACAACCCTATCAACTTGGGTAGCAACTTTGCGGGATCTATGGACACGGACCCCAAGATCCCTCTGTTCCTCCACACTGCCAAGAATCCTGCCATTAACCCTGTATTCTGTATTCAAATTCGACATGGAACCTTTCAAATGCCTTCTGAAAATCTAAATACAAAACACCCATTTAAAAGTTAAGATAAACGTTCCCATTTATCTATAGCACGTCTTCCTTCCTTAAAGAAATTAGTTAAACATGACTGGGAACAGATTGGGAACAGATGCTGTCAAGGAAGAGCACCACAGAAATGTGGAGATTGTTTAAGGAATGCCTACTGCATGTGCTCGATATGTTTATCCCTAGTAGGCAGGGAAGATGCGGTCGAGTGAGGGAGCCATGGTTCTCGAGAGAGGTCGAATGACTGGTTAAGAGGAAGAAGGAGGCTTATGTAGGGTTTAGGAAAAGAGGAACGGAAAAGGCTCCAGAGGGATACAAGTTATCCAGAAAGGAGCTGAAGAAAGGGCTTAGGAGAGCTATAAGGGGGCATGAGAAAACCTTGGCAGATAGGATCAAGGAAAACTCCAAGGCTTCTTACACGTATGTGCAGAACAAGAGAATGACCAGAGAAAGGGTAGGGCCAGTCAAGGATTGTAAAGGGAATTTGTGCACAGAGCATAAAGAGATAGGAGAGGTCCCTAATGGAAACTTTTCTTCAGTATTCACAACTGAGAGGGACCTAGTTGTAGAGGAGGACGTTGTGAAACAGGCTGGTAGGCTAGAGGAGGTTGATGTTAGTAAAGAAGATGTGCTAGGAATTCTGAGGAAGTTGAAGATAGATAAGTCCCCCGGGCCTGATGGGATTTATCCAAGGATTCTATGGGAAGCGAGGGATGAGATCACAAGGCCTTTGGCGATGATCTTTTCGTCCTCACTGCCCATGGGTATAGTTGGAAAGAGGCAAACGTCATTCCCTTGTTCAAAAAAGGGAATAGGGATAACCCGGGAAATTACAGGCCAGTTAGTCTTACGTCAGTGGTGGGCAAATTATTGGAAAGGGCTCTAAAAGGTAGGATTTATGA